ATCTCTCTCCTCCAGCTGGTTTGCTGTCCATTGTACCAGTATGAACAACACCAACACTTACATTAGTGGTGACAATAAAGGATATGCTTCATTACTACATGAAAAAGATATGGACAAAGACTCACTCCCTGGACAGGTAACTTAACTATCAAAGTCACATGATTATCATGTGACATGATCTTCTTTATAGAGTAAGTTCATTGCTGCCTATGCTCAGAGTAATGAAGGGGACGTCACTCCTAATCTAATGCCACAACATTGTCCTGGTCACCCTGAGGTACCCTGTGACGCTAACTCTTCAAAATGTAAAGTGGACGGAAAAGTAAGATCTGTTATATACATTATCTGATTGAAAGTGTCTACCTTGCTTTTGATCATAATCTCTCCCTTTCTCTTTCTCCAGGAGCTTTTCTGCATAGCCTTTGGCCCTGGGGTGGACATGTTTGACAGTACAAGAATCATTGGAGAAAGACAATTTGATAAAGGAAAGGTATTGTGCAGCCATTATTTAATATAAACAATCCTTAATACAATGATTGATATATCTACTCTATTAGGAGCTCTATGATTCAGCATTTAAGGAGCTGAGTGGGCCAGTACAGTATTTGAAGGTTAATAGAGATTTCTCTAATATTGAGTTGGAGTTTAATGGAAAGAAGGTTAGTTATGGATTCAAACTAAAGCTTATCTTTATTATTCTCAAAGGTGCACACATGTACTCCAGCAATGGGAGACAGTTTTGCAGCTGGGACCATTGATGGACCTGGAGCCTTCAGTTTTAAACAAAGTAGCCATAACAGAGTTTCAGTTTTAGCCTTTTATCTTCTCGTAATTTTCAGATGATACGACTGGAAACAAGTTTTGGGATTTAGTGGGTCACTTACTCCACGAGCCATCGAAAGAAGAGAAGGAATGTCAAGCACCCAAACCAATCCTGCTGGACACAGGTGAATGGAATGAATGGAATGCTAATAATTAAAACTATTTTGATATGAATGGTGGCTATTTATTATCATTGCATGGTTCAGGTGATATCAATATACTGTATCCCTGGGCCCCAAGGATTGTTCCACTTCAAATGTTCCGTATCGGCCAGCTGGTAATATCAGCAGTACCGGCTGAATTTACAACAATGTCTGGAAGATATTTGAAGAATGCTGTGAAGAAAGTGAGTGAGAGAGAGAGAGAGAGGAGGAAACTGTGTTTCATATTTCATTATTTTTATTATTGTTAGATATTTAATGCTACTGGTGACTCTGACATCATTCCAGTTATAGCCGGACTATCCAATACCTATTCAGACTACGTCACAACCTACTATGAATACCAGGTACTGACTGATAAAACCTCCATTAAATTTTATCTGATTATCCGCTACAATTTTGCTATCATTTTTTACCTTACAGCAACAAAGATATGAAGGTGGTTCCACCATATTTGGACCTTACACTTTAAACGCATACGTACAAGAATTCAGTAAACTTGCTGTTGCTTTAGCTACCAATGTAAACACACTTATACAATTATCATAATTTAACCCTCCCCCCTCTCTCTCTTATAGAATGCAACTGGTCTTGATAAAGGTCCACCCACTCCTGATTATTATTCAAGACAAAAGTCTCTGATTCTGCCAGTACTGACCGACAAGCAACCAAAGGGAAAGAAGATTGGTGACGTTAAAGTTGACGTGAAAGAAAGTTACGCAATAGTAAGGAAGGATTCTAATGGAGGAGGTGTGAATTGAATAATTGATTCTATTTTTAGAACGACACTGTTGAAGTCGTGTTTTGGGCTGGAAACCCACGCAATGACAGAAAGGTATAGTGTCCTATTAATAGTAACAGTTTAATGACGTCATCATTGTTACTATTAATAGACCAACAGTACATTCCTGACAGTTGAGATAGAGGACAATGACCAATGGACTGTAATGTACACTGACGCCTCCTTGGAAACAAGGTAATGAATATTAATTGATTAGAATATTAATTAATATTAATTAATTGAAATATTAATGAATATTAATCAATATTCCACAGGTTCAAGTGGGAATATGATCACAGTGATACTCTGTGTATTATGGATGAAATTTTTGATGGTGGTTGTACCAGTCATGTGACCATTCAGTGGTTCATTCCACCTGATACTGTTCCTGGTACTTATCGTATCCAACATTTCGGAGCTTACAAAAATGACGGAGTCCATCAGTATCAAGGGGTTTCTGGAACTTTTAAAGTCACCAAAATGTGATTTTAATAATTATTATTAGTTTATATGTTACCATGACTACCAATGATTATATACATGTATTAACTGCAGCTGAATATATTTGTCATTTTATTTGCTGGAGCTTTATTAATTAACTATGGTCTTTGTTGCTTTAATTCAAATTTTATTTTTAAAGACAAGTGTGACACTGTCAAAAAATTAAAGTTTAGTTTAGGTCCTACCTCAATTAATTATTAAATTAACTGAATAATAATAAATTACTAGTTTCTTAGGTTTTGGTTTACTTAAGTTTAGATTCAGGGGTTAATTAAAATTATTCAAATTAATTATTAAAAATAGAGATGGCCTGTTCGATGACTACATTGTTAGAGACTGCGTTTGAAGTAGTTCCAGAAGCTGTAGGGCTAGCAATAATTATTTCTAATAACTACGAGCAAGAGTGCGACAACAAGGACAAGCGAAGACGTCACAACCTACCTATTCTACATGCTACAAAAAGTGATGGAGATTCAATGGCTGAAGCTTTTAAAGAGCTAGGCTACGCCATTGTGCGTATACACAACGAGATCACAGTTACGTTCCTGAATACACTTCTAAGGAAAGCAACCATTATCCAATACCCAAAGTCTTGCAAAAGGATAGCTTTTGTATTTGCTGGCCATGGACGAAATGAGCCTAAATCTGGTACCACTCTAATTATGAATGATGGAGAGAGTATACGAATAGACTCCATTGTTGAGACTCTTTCTCCTCGTGATCCTGGTAATGCAATTGGTAATAAGGTCCGCATGTTCTTCATTGATGCTTGTAGAGGAGTTGGCAGGGACGAAGGAAGGCTTGTACCTCGAGGTGATGGGGATCGTATAGATCTAGAAAAGCAACGGCTATCAATCAATGCTGCTAACTACTTGCTTTCCTTCTCAACCCTTATTGGTTTTGAGTCATTGGAACAAATAGAAAGTACAGGAGAGTCTCAGGGACTATGGCTGCCACGCGTTGCCAGAAACCTGATCACTTGTGATGCTTCAATTGGTGACGTTCTGATAAAAGTAAACGAGGAGCTGTTGACTGAATTTCAAAACGAAACAAAGTATCCGCGTATGATGCAACCAGTTTTCATTAACACACTCAATGAGTCAGTGTTCCTGTTAAGGGAAAAGCTTCAAGGTAAGTCAGCTAATTTTACTACTGACCTTTACTACAATTATTATTAGCTATAGGATTAAGTACAGCTGCAACAACAAGTACTGAATCTAGTGATAAAGACCAATCCAAAGTGCCCACCAAAGTGACCAAACGTCCTAGTGCTGATCAGGCTTCCAGACCTGAATTAGCAGCTGCTCTCTCTCAACAAGCACCAGGGGCTCAAATGCACATTACAGAACAGCCTTTACCTAGGGAAAGAGCAATGAGCTTACCACCAACAACAGGTAAATCTAACTATTGAATTCCTTCATTATTTTAATTACTAATTTTCTAGAATTAGTTCAACAAAAAGCACCACTCCCCGATGACAGTGGTTATTACAAAAAACAGCTTAATGAGTTGATGCAGAAGAAGATCATTAGTGATTCTTACACTAAGAGTTGGAAGGAAGAGGTCCACCCCAAGATTCAAGGTAAATTTAAAGCCACAGTTGAGTGTGTGCTGCTAGTTGGTGACAATAGCACTGTCTTTGGAGATAGCAAGGAATATTATAATGGAAAGAATCTTGCTAAAGAAGCAGCAGCTGAAGATGCTGTTAGAAAAATAGGGGAAAAAGTACCAGGAGTAGTTTCAGCAAGAATAAGTTCACTGCCACCTATAGCTACTGGTAGAAGTGATATACCAGTACTTACGAACAAGCAGAATCTTAACAATCATTTTCAAGGGGAGCTACAGGATAGTCTACCAACCTATGATACAGTGCAAGTTGACGACAATCGATTCCAATGCAGTATAACCCATGAATGGTTTGGCAGCGAAACGATTACTGGTGACATCTGCTCTTCAAAGAAAGAAGCAGAAGACAGTGCTGCATCTAAAGCATTGGAACGCTGTCAAAAATAGACAGACAGTAACGTCACATTTAAATGTAGCAATTTTCTGCTCATTTAGTGACTGTTGCTGTGGCTTATAATTATTGTTGGCTTTATTGCTTTAATTAAAATTATGATAAAAAAGTGTCTATCAAAAATCAAAAAAATTAATAATAATAAAAAATACTACGTAACTAAATATGAGGTTAAAAGTGGCAATTAAATTTACAAGCAAACTTAAAAGATTTATTGATGAGGGTTAATTAATTAATTAGGTGAGAGCCACTCCCAAAACTGATCGAAAGTATCCCTATCAGTGAAGGTCAGGTTCTCATTGATTCCGGCTCCATTGGGTGCTATGAGAGAGTCGTGTTCAACAACTTTCTTTGACCACTCCAGCTCAAGGTTCTGATCATCAGTCAAAGGATAGACCATCACCTAAAGGAAAAATTTAGAAATTAATTATAAAATATTATTATAATAATCTTACATTCCAGCCGGAGGAGTCAGTGTGGTGGCACAATTCATCGTCAATCTCTTTGATAAGATGGCGCTTCTGTCCAAAAGACTCAAAATGCTTCATAAGTTCTTCGGCTAGATTATCAGCCTTGCCTACAAATACCTATAAATGATGTAATAGTTACAGTTAACACTTTAATACAACATAAATAAATGTTTTATGCATGTACATGCACATGTATGATAAAACATTAATGGTGAATTCTTCCCCAGTACTACAGTGTATGGGCTTAGAGCAACTTTAAAAGTTCGTAAAAAATCCAAACTTGATTGGAATCCGCTCAAACTTTCTACACAACATAAGTACATGTATATGTATCAGAAAATGTAATAAAATTGTAAAATTTTCTACTTGACAATTTTGGTCAAATTTGGCAAAAGTCCCTGTACTATAGTACAGGGACTTTTGTCTGATTTTGGAGCAACTTTAAAAAATCATAAAAAATCCAAACTTGATAGGAATCCGCTCAAACTTTCTACACAACATAAGTACATGTATATGCATCAGAAAATGTAATAAAAGTGAGGATTTTCTACTTTTCAATTTTGGTGAAATTTGACAAAAGTCCCTGTACTATAGTACAGGGACTTTTGTCTGATTTTGGAGCAATTTTAAAAAATCATAAAAAATCCAAACTTGATTGGAATCCGCTCAAACTTTCTACACAACATAAGTACATGTATATGCATCAGAAAATGTAATAAAAGTGAGGATTTTCTACTTTTCAATTTTGGTGAAATTTGACAAAAGTCCCTGTACTATAGTACAGGGACTTTTGTCTGATTTTGGAGCAATTTTAAAAAATCATAAAAAATCCAAACTTGATCGGAATCCGCTCAAACTTTCTACACAACATAAGTACATGTATATGCATCAGAAAATGTAATAAAATCGAGGAATTTTCTACTTGTCAATTTTGGTGAAATTTGACAAAAATCCCTGTACTATAGTACAGGGACTTTTGTCTGATTTTGGAGCAACTTTAAAAAATCATAAAAAATCCAAACTTGATCAGAATCCGCTCAAACTTTCTACAC